GGATCTGGAATACATTGCCTGAAAGGGTGGTGGAAGCCGATTCGATAACCACTTTTAAGAGAGAAGTAGATAATTATTTGGGGAGGACAAGTTTGCAGGGCTATGGGGAGAGAGCGGGGGAGTGGGATTGAATTGGATAGCTCTTTTCAAAGAGCGACACAGACACAATGGGCCGAATGGCCTCCTTCTGTGCTGTATAATTCTATGATTCACAAGGGTTGAATTGGTTCCAATGAGACTTGTCTGGCAGAGCAGGCAGCTCTGCGAGTAATCCAAGGCATTGTTAAGGGTCGATCTGCCTGTCTGCCTTATCAATGAGACTTTGAGATGCAGCCATATCTTCAACTCTGCAAGCCAAAGCTTTAATGGGTAGGGTGCTCACAGCTGAACAAGCACACTGAAATTTATCAGAGCTGGTACATTACATGGTTATCATTTTATATATATAACATAATCCTTGCATTTGATATAGCATCATATAACATCATCAAAATGCCTTAAAGTTCTTTGCAGGATTTACTGTAGAATGTAGTTACTGTCTATTTTGTAGTAAATGCCTCCCGCCCTATATAATATATAATGCAAAACATGCACACATAAATAAAAAAATGATATATTTAAATATTTACAATCCTTTCCCCATTAATCAAAGCAGACCATGTATACAATTATCTTTTAAAAACAAATATTTCTAGACTGATTAACAACAGACGGACTTCCAGACCCCCCACATCTATAATAATGTGATAATATACGAAGCATAGCTTTATGAAGCACCATAATTAAAGCATCATGCACACCCACAAAATACATGCTCACTACATTTTACATTGTATTCTGTCAAATGTTTTGAGACATCCTCTGAACATGAAATGCATTATATCAAACGTAATGATTATTACTGTTCATAATAATGTGCATTAATACATTACCTAGCAAACAGATATTGTTGCAGCCAATAAAACTGGCCCTTTTTCTGTGATTGTGTGCCTGCAGATATACCCCTGGGAAACGGCACCAAAGGTAAAACATGGACAGCAACGGAAAGGGACAGTAATAGAGAGAGACAATAATAGAGAGGGACACTAAATATTAGTAGTTCATTCAATCCAGAATTAAATAATCTTTACGCTGTTTTCAGAGTAAACTGAATCAGAGAAAACCGTGACATCCAATGTCAGTTAAATAACCTGTTATATTCAGCATCCTTTATTTGAGGTATACACTTCAAAGGCAATACCCGAAGGAGGATTTTAGAATTTCAAATTTGCTCTGGAAAAATAAATGGGTCTCAGCAGAGTTCTGATTTTCCATAACCTTTATTTGTGTAACAGCATTTGTGTGAACGGTGTAAGGATTACAGTGATACATACTCTCCCATGTCTCTCAGACAAGCAGCTTCAAAGCCATTTCAGGACATGATCACCTTTAGGCTTTTTGAAAAATAATGTCATACTATGAGAAAAGCTTGGCCACTTATGATCCTGTTCCATTGTATACAGTATTGGAACTCGTCAAATGTAACAAACTTTGGATATAGAGGGAGAAATCACAAGCTCACAAGAGAAGTCCTTTCAGCTCATCTTATCTCATCTTTCCAGAATACCCATCCTCCCATCACAGCATCAAGCTGTTTTTTTAAATGAGTCAAGTTTTCCTTGTCTCACCCAACCTTTCCTAGTAATCTTTTCCTGTCATTAATTACATGCAAAACTAATGACTCGGAATTGAAACACTGATGATCATTTATAAGATAGTCCTTCTCTGATATAAATTTGTAAGACAACAACAGATTGCATTTATATAGCACCTTTCACATCGGGAGGATGCCCAAGATACTGGACAGTCGAGGGTTTGGTCAGTAGTGTTTAAGTAGGTCACAGAGGTAGGGATTGCAGAATTGTGGATGTCTCATAGCTGGTTTAGGAAGGAGGTGGGGAGTCCGGTAATCAGGGCAGAGGTAATGGTAGAAATGGCCGATGTTGCAGAAATGAGGGAAAGCTGAACAAGTGAGAACCTGGACATAAGGCTTAAAAGACAATGGGGTGGGGGTTGAACCAGATACAGAGGTTCTGCACCAGATATGTGAGATGAGAAGGTGAGAGGCACACAGGAGATTCTGTCTTGTTGACATTCAACTGAAGGAAGTTGGAATTCATCCAGGACTTTGTGTCTGACAATCAGTCAGAACAGCAGTGGTCCTGGAATAGAGGGTAGATTTGGATTTCATCAGCGCACTTGTTGAAATGGATCACAGAATCCATAATATTGCTATCCTTCCTAGTTTTTGAAGGTAGAGGTCAAATATATCAAACCTATTGCCATCCAGTCTGTGCTCAGCTAACTCAATAGACCAAATCCAAAACATTTTGTAGCTGTGAGGCTCAGAACCACACTACATAATGCATTTATCTTCCAAGTCAAGAAGGGGAGAATCTATGTTCTACTTTCTTAAGGAGCATGATTAGAATTCAAAATAGCAGTATTTTAAAGCAAAATTTCAGTTCTGGACACGGCAAAAAGGATGACATTGAAACATTTATTGAACAAAAGGTATTTCCTGCTGGTATTTGAAATCATGGAATGTAAGATGAGGAAACATGCAGTAATTAACAAGATTTATATAACCATATAATCATTCCTGAATAAGATCTATTGAATAGAACAGATCTTGAGTTTTAGTGCTGCTTTGCAATGTGGAATAGCAATCATGTTGTTGGTCTAACCACTTAACTGAACAGTTGCTCGGTATGTCAGGAACGAGTGCTATCAAATATTTAATAGTGATAATAACCAAGATAAATATAATACGTGGACCGATGTGACAAATACATTCTACCCAGTCTGCAGTCTGTAGAACAAAGGTATGTGAATCATGGTATCCACACAAATCGTACAGTGGTATAAAAGGCAACACGTACATACATCAATATTCTCGTACATTATTTGTAAGGAAGCAATAAAATTGAATAATAATAAAAAGAAAGTCAATGCGTTTCTTTGAACTAGCATATTCTAAATACCATTTAGGATTTATTCAGTCAAGGACTCTGACCAACTTCTCTGTGAAGGCTATACTTTCTAGAAAAGTCTGAAGTTTCTAACCAATTCCTTAAATGAAAGATTCTAGATACAAATAATCATCATTACATTTGGTATAGCGCCTTTCATGTGAGGAGGACATCCAAAGTGCTTCATAGGATACGGTGTAAAGTGGACAGACTGTGTGTTTTGTGGGCAAACAAGGCAGACAAGTTGTACGCAGCAGTTAAATCCTATTTATTGTTGTGGAGTCCAGTAGCTTAGTGTTTTGAGAACTCAGCTTGTAAGAGGATCCAGGTTTGTTTCCCGGGCGGGACAAAACCTTAGGCAAGTTTCCTTACTCCAGATGCCTGTTTACAACAACAACAAGATTTCATTTATAGAGCGCCTTTCATGTCGGGAGGACGTCCCAAGGCGCTGGACAGTTGGGTCGGGACCTGAGCAGGGGGGAGACATTAAGACAAGGTCCAATCTGCCTGATCAGGTTGACATTAAAGATCTCATGATGCTGTACGAAGAGAAAGGTTTTTCTCCTGCTGTCCTGAAACATGTTCATGATGTGGAAGGCACTATATCCAATACAATAATAATCAAATTATTATTATTCAAGAAGGGAGTTTCTCCCAGTATCCTGGCCAACAAGGCCACAAGTAAAATTGGTCATTGGGCTGTTTGTGGAACCTGCTGTGTGAAATTGGTTCAAACCTTTGCTTACAGTTTATAGTATATCCTTTGAAGCACTTTGTGATGTCCTGACACAAAATTATTTATTAAAAGTAATATTTATGCTGCAGGCTTCTATCCACTCTCCTCCCCACCACCATTTTAGTCTTTTCCAATTTCTCCCCCCTACCCCATCGTTGTGTCTTGTGGAGTCCTGTAGCGTTTTGGTTAGAGCACTCGTCTCACAAGCGAGAGTACCTGGATTTGATACTCAGGCAGGGCGAAACGTAAGGAAGTTTCCTTACTCCACACACCTCTGTTTACCTAGCAGTAAGTAGGAACCCAGTTGTTAGTCGATTGGCAGATCACTTTTCCGGGGGTAATAATTCCTTCGAAAATAAATTTTTAAAAATTCTTTGTTTAATCCACGACTGTTTGTGGGACACTGTGTGCAATTGGCTGCCGCATTTCACCCACAAGAGACGTTTTGAGATGCCTCAGACATGATAAGGTGCTATATCAAATGCAAGGATTATTATTATTAATGTCAAAACCCAGTGTGTTACCTGATCTACACTGTGCAGCATCCATCCAATAAATGCTTTTGTTTAAAGAATCTCTTCTAAATCAGGTTAAACTTAAACTTAACAGATGCAGTGAAAACCCTTTACCATTCTGAATTTTCAAATATCTGGGACATACCTTCCATTTATCTTTTATAGAAAACTTGCTTTAGCTCTAATATTAATTTTCCCAGGTCTTTAATCTCCACACCAATAAAGGCATTACCTTAAATTAATCTGGGTAACAATTCTCGAGATTTAGTCATTCATCTCATCGCTGTTTGTGAGATCTTTCTTATCCAAATAGGTGCTGCATTTGCTTACGGTCACCAATTAAGCACTTTGAGATGTTTCAGTTTAGAACGCCTTGTTATGGTGAAAGTTCTTTCTCTTACTGTTGCGATAAATAAATCAGGCCAATCCCTCAGGCTTCTCCTAGTTTTGCTGCTGTAGCAAAGCCTGGCTAAGGATAACAATCTCCTACTGTGCATCTCATGAGCCAAGTTTTAATGTGACCACTGAAAGGGACATCTTTGAGTTGAAAAATGCACACCAGGCAGCCAGTCAGTGTATGTGAGCATGAGATTCTTGCCAGATTTTCTATGAGATCACTGGTGTCGGACATAACGTGAAGTATCTTTTCACACTCATGCAATGGAAGATGGATTACGGCGGCAGAAAAAAAGAACGACAATAATTGTGAAAACAATAAGATCAATTTAACAAGTTCTATTGGTGTTTAAGAATACAGGTTTTATTACAATTTAAAATGGAAAAAAAAGCATGGTGCAGAATTAATATCCAGCAATTTTGTAATTCAGCACAAACTCACTCATCAGTAACACACCGACTGTACCATATTTACAACAAGATGAAAGTGGTGTTAGTTTTGAACAGGGGTACATTGCACAGGTGTGTAAAACAGCTGACAGAGCTTAAACTTTTTTTTAAAAAATCAAATCCCTTTTCAGCCTAGCCAGCCGGCAATTTTGGAAAATGAAAAAGCTAAATCACTACCTAACTATATGCTTCATACCACTTTCAATCAGATCTCAAAGACCGAGCATAAAAGCTCTGTCTGTTCCTTTGTTTGTCTGAGAACAGCTGAAGTCAACTGCGTAACGTTTTTCCAAAAGTGTATTCTGACTTATAAAGTTCATAGATCTGTGGGCAGAAATTGGGCATTCAGACTGAACATATTGCTCAAATCCCACCCACAAATTATGAAGGGCTTTGAAGCCACATTTTGCACACTGCAGTCTGACATTTATCCAAAACAAAATTCTTGTGCGCAACCGAATGGCTGTAAACCAACACAGACTATCACAGGAATCACTACAGATGAACCAGTTGTGAATTTATTTAAAATCTTGACAACTCTGAAGTGAAGTTGGGATTAATTTTTTACTTCAACTTCATTCTGGAACTAAATATTCTGCAGCTCTGGGAGCTCTGGGGGGGAAGAAGATGTGAGCTGTTTTCTTTACAAGCAAATTTGTAAAAAAAAATAAGTTAAAAAGCCATGATGCTTTATAAAATATAGTCCATAGACAAAGTGAGACATGGCTTCCCAAACACAGTTTAAATATATGCAACACCATTCTGGAGATTATGTTTGGGTCTTTCTTCTTTGTCAATACTGGAATGATATCAGTGTGTTGACTTTGTAGACATGATAGGATCTGTTCCAATAAACACGAGTGAAGTAGTTGACATAAGGAGAATAGTCCAGCTTAATCTCATGACAAAATCGTCCAAACACTGAGAACGGGTGGTTTGTGTCAGTGTCTCCATCCCTATAAAGCATCTGCAAGAGGAAGATAAATAAAAAAATTAAAATTACAACCAACTTAGAAAGTATTCATATCATCTCAGTGACCACAACAATATACTAAATTACTTCACCCACAGTTGAAATAACAAAATCTAATTGATTAGATTTCTTCCCTTTGCTGTCCTCCTACTCTCCTAAATGCAAGGACTTGTTGGGCACCAGAGACTCTGAAACCTTATCTAAGTGGCCATTCTTCATATGAGCAAGGACATTGAATGTGGGCAGGTTGTTTGGTCATGGGAGGACCTCACAGACACTCTTGATCTCATCTAACTTTCGAGCAGAGGATGACTGGATAGAAATCAGGATCCTGAATTCCAAGCCTAGTTTTCTTCATTGTAGGTCAACGGGACTGAGACTGCCCTGACTAAGATCAGATAGCTCTATGCTAACGTTAGATCCCAGATGCGATCAACTAATTCAGCACAGACTCAGAAACAGATCCCTGGCTGAGATCAGCTCAAACCTGGGAACTGAATCTTTGTAATAAAAACAAAAGTCGCTGGGAACACACGGAGATCAGGCAGCATCTATGGAGAGAAGAAAGTGAGTTAACATTTCAGGTCGATGACCTTTTGGCAGAACTCTGAGGTCTGCCTTTAGTTCAGATTTCCAGCATCTGCAGTATTTTTCCTTTTGTTAACTGAATGTTTGTGATCTGTATAATTCAGTTTCACACAGGACTATAGCTTTATCAATCCTGCCATCAGAAGTTCTACATAGCAAACTTAATGCTATTTTCAGAATGCAGAATTCTGCAACAATAACTCACATTTAAGTAGTGCCCTTTTCATAGGATAGTGTTGGAGCACGATGCAGAATCTGGCCTCTTTCTACATATTCTCCAAACAAAATAATAGTGAATTTGGATTTACTGCTACAAAGATATAAGATTCACCAGGGATCACGCTATGAAAGAAGAAATAGCCAACCTCTTATAGAAGATTGTATTAATTTAATTATTTAAATTATACATTAATAATACAGATTCACAAGAGGCATGCAATTGCAGCAACTCACTGCAACACAAAAAAGCTTTCAATATCCATCTTGCAACAGCAATTTATCATTACATCTCTTAAGCAACAAAATCTCCTTTGCTTAAAGCTACATAATTTTAAAGACTTTTTGAATAATATCTAACAAGAGTCAAGAGTGAAAAGAAAGATTGGTCAGCATATTCTATTCCTTCTGCCCCAACAAAATAAATTAAAGGAAATATCTTTAGTTTAGTACTTTAGCAAAATAACTAGTTTGCTTTGGTTAGTCGACATTTCAATGCAATGGAGCTTAAAAGCAGAACACTTTTTGCTATTATATTTTAGTCAATGCATTAGAATGAAATGCAACAGCCTAGTTTGGCCTACGATTATTTTATACATTTATCTTTTAAAAAGATCATTGATGCAGTTGCTGATTCAATAGTTGATTTAAATATACATGATGTCAAACAGATTTTAATAATGAGCGCACCAGTGGCAGGACAAGCCAACTGCACACTGCACAATTAATAAGGAATTTGCAGTGAGGCAATTCAGTTCAGCACTTTGAGCACTTTGCAAAGATAATTTGAGCACTGGACTGATTTTATGCTACTCAATAGTAGCGTTTTGCCCATCAGAGTGCTTTGCTGCAACACAAAGAATGTACTGCAGGATCATTTCTTTTTAAATACTTGTTCTAAAACAGGACTGTTCTGCCCACTGAAGCTCACAAACTACATGGATGAATCTAATGGCACAGAGTACTGCCCATTCGTGGTCTTTGAGCTTCATTATGCAGAGCAACCCACATATTTAAATTGAATTCAAGCATTAAAGCAAAAATAATTCTGCTTTGCTGGGTTTCCTTGTTGCCAACCAACTCCGCGCACACCTCTCCTCCCACTCCCTCTTTGAACCCCAGTCCGGTTTCCGCCCTGCTCACAGTGCAGAGACTGCGCTTGTGAAAGTCACAAACGACATCCTCTCTATCTGTGACCAGGGCTCCCTCTGCCTCCTCGTCCTCCTGGACCTCTCCGCCGCATTCGACACAGTCGATCACGCCATCCTCCTCCACTGCCTTTCCTCCGTCATCCCCCTCAGAGAGATCGCACTCACCTGGTTCGAGTCCTACCTCACAAACCACCAGCAGTACATCTGCACAAATGGCTTCTCCTCCCGCTCTCACCCGGTCACCTGTGGGGTACCTCAAGGATCCATCCTTGGCCCCCTCCTCTTTTTAATCTACATGCTCCCTCTTGGGGATGTCATCCGCATACATGGGGTACATTTCCACATATATGCAGATGACACCCAACTCTATTTTTTCACCTCTCTTTGCGACCCCCAGTCCCCTGATGTTCTGTCAGCCTGCCTGTCAGATCTCAGCGGCTGGATGAGCGCAAACTTCCTTCAGCTGAACGTTGACAAGACAGAAGCCATACTCTTTGGCTCTCGTCAACGTCTAAAATCTCACGGCTCTCACCTCCTCCACCTACCCGACCTCTCCTTAAAACTCTCCGAACCCATACGCAACCTCGGCATCAGGTTTGACCCTCAATTATCCTTCCTCCCCCACATCGGGTCCCTCACCAGCACCGCTTTCGTCCACCTCCGACGCATTGCCCGTCTCCGCCAATACCTCTCCCCAAAAGCCGCTGAAACCCTGGTCCATGCCTTTGTCACCTCTCAGCTGGACTACTCGAACACCCTCCTCGCCGGTCTCCCATCCACTACCATCCATAAAATCCAAATCATTCAAAACTCTGCCATCCGCATTCTCACCCGCACAAAAAACTCCGCTCCCCGATCACCCCAGTCCTTGCCAGACTGCACTGGCTGCCTATCCCCGAGAGGATCGATTTCAAGGTCCTCAAGTCCCTGCACTCCTCTGCACTCCCCTACCTTTCTGACCTCCTCTCTCCTCAAAACAGTACCCGCTGCCTCCGTTCCTCCGGGTCTGGCCTCCTCCTCGTCCCCCGAGTCCTCCGCTCCACCCTCGGCGGCTGTGCCTTCAGCCACTATGCCCCGAGGCTCTGGAACTGCCTTCCTCACTCCCTTCGTCTCGCTCCCTCCCTTCCCATTTTCAGGTCTCTGCTGAAGACCTTTCTTTTCTACCGCGCCTTTGGTCACCTTCCTCCCCCTCCCCCTGGCTCGGTCCCGGGATCCGTTACGGTAAAGCGCTCTGAGATGCCGTCCGGCGTGGAGGGTGCTATATAAATCCAAGTTGTTGTTGTTGTTGTTCTTGGGCTCAGATAAAACTTCCACATGAATCAGAAATACAAAGTGTTCTTGGAATAAACCTCAACCCATCTACTTATAAATATCTCTGCACTAGGTTTAAGGAAGTGAATCTTGCTTTCGCTCACAAAATACACAGTCAATCCACTTTACAATATATCCTGTGAAGCGATTTGAGATGTCTCAATGATGTGATAAGGCACTAGATCAAATTATTATTAGCACTGCTTTGCCTGGACATAACCTGATAGCAACAAATGTGAGGAAGAATTCCCAGGTTATTTCACAGAAATCATACAGTACTTATAATTCGGTCACCAAAATAGCAAAAGATAATGTAAGTCAAAGTGTTTCAATTACATGGTAACGTTACATTGGTATTCACTGGAATAAATTTATTTAAAAATTCTGTTTGATATAAATAAGCCGGATTGAAAGCATTCTCCACCCACCATGAGTTACTAAATTCCCAAACTTCATGGGGGTGGGGGGGGGGGGGTGGCGGGGAATGGACTTTGTGAAGGCAACAAGCTAATATGAGAGTAGAAATTGATAGACTCCTTCTGATGGACAAGTGGGTAAAAGCACTTGGTGTATTATCAATCCATGTGAACACCCTCTAAATCACTAATCTGTGCTGTTAGTGTTTCTTGGCTAAAGGTAATAATTGACCTTTAGTGCCCAAGAACTGGTAGGAATAACAAAATCATCCAGGATACCAGCTCCTGATCGCAAGGAAAATATCAAGCACATCTGTGCTACTATTCCATGCCAATATGCAAAACTCTAGGCTCATATAAAGAGCAGCTACTTGGGCAAGGTACCACCAGAGGGAGGGAGCCCAGCAAGAGTGAAACCATATATCTGTAACATTCAACACATTGCAAAGGGAGAGAAAAGGAAGAAATCAGGCAGGAATAAAACAAAGATAAGGAAGGGTGTGGTACGGAGGCTCAATGCACTGAATTGGGAGGTTTGATCCCCAAGGCTGATCACATGAAGATTTTGGTTATTACACAACAAAAGCAGAGGCCAGGTACCAGTTGTGGGAACAAGCAGAGTCACCTCGACCTGTTCTCCTTAATTCCCAGTGGCTGACCACTCAGAGAGACCGAGATCAGGTCAATCATCTACTCCTCTGACTACTGCTGGATTACTAGGAAGACTAGGTGAATTAAATGAGAGGTTTCATACTTTTTTAATAAAAAAGACAGAGAATCAGTTATTTCTGCTCTATTCCTTACCATACAATTGTTTCACCCCCACCAATATTATTCCGAATCTTCTACCACTGCACTGTGTAGGTGTTTTGAAAGCAGGTTTTCAATATACTCACATGGCCATTAGCAACATCCAGTAAGTCCTTAACTCGGCAGCCTTTCACTGGTCCCATCTCATTGCAGATTCCCTCTTCAACCACTACATAATTAGTCTTGTAGGATGTGAGAATCATATAAATATCTTCTGCAGATCTCCGAGAGTACACCTGGTAGATCTGGAGACAGAAAGATCTTCTGAAAACAGATCATTTACAGCAAAGGTCCTGGTTGGGTGGATCTGGAAACTTCATGAAAAGGAACACACATCTGTGTTTTTATACAAGGATATCTCTATTAGTAGTGATATCTGACTACTTTACTAGGAGACATATCCTGGATGAGCCTCAATTTCCTTCAGCTCAATGTGGGCAAAACAAACCTTGAAGTTTAAGCATGTTCACCCATAAAATACACAGTGAATTCACTTTACAGTATACCCTGTGAAGCACAACGACATAAGGTGCTATATCAAATTCAAAGATTATTATTATTATTATCTGTTCCCAAGGAATGAATCATGGGCATATTCAGACAGTGTCAGCACTTGCCATGCTACTGCCAGATTCTTTGCCATTTCACCTGCGGAGGTGCTGGCTTTCTGCAGGGTATGAGTTTGCCCGGGGACACACAGACACATAGACACACAGAGACACAGAGTTTCCTTGAGTTTCATCAATAATCAAAATGCAAGTAACCAGTGAAAGCACAAGTTTTCTGCTGCAAGTGAAGGTGGGAAGCTTCCTAACCTCTGAAGCAGAAAATAAGGACTTGACCCGCAAAACTCAGAGACACTTAATTTTGATTGTAAACCACCTTGATCCCCTCCTGAGCTCCGACTCATATATCCCTTGGCAACATAATAATCCACCTCTTAAATGTAAAGTGCTTTCAAGCGATCGTACGCACTAACTACATGTACTGCTTTCATAATGCATTTTTAGTGTTGTTGCAGCACCTCTTGGGTGCTGTCTTAAACAGGCAGAGAGGCCTGTACTAAATAGTCAAACACACACCAGTGCTAGGTAGAGGGGTCAGTCCACTGACAATGTTGGCATTGGTGACTTAGGGCTGGGACTGGCTACAGCATAAACACAGCATAAACACATCAAATTGGTCAAAATTGTGGAGGGTTTTCTCAATTTCATCCACTGGGGTACAGTTCCAATAGGTGCCAATTCTTCCCACCCAGAAATCAATTCTTCAGTGGACAGATTGAGCTAATAAAAGCACAAGTCAGCTTTAGAGATTTATTTCAGTATATAGCTACACATGGTAATACACAACATGCCATAATTATAGGAGGGAATGGACCTCTACCTGGCCAACTCTCCTACCTCCCCTGGACTTTGATTCCATCAGTCAACACCAAGTCATTATCATTGAGACCTTCAATGACCTCATCTCCTCTGGGATCTTCCCCCCACAGCCTCCAACCTCACAGACCCCCAACCCCCATAGTTCCCTGACTCTGACTGTCTCCTATTTACAATTGATCTTCAGTCCCTCTACACCTCCAATCCTCACCAGGACGACCTGCAGGCCCTCCCCTTCCACCTGGAACAGCGGCCAAAACAATCTCCACCACCACCACCCTCCTCCATCTGCCTGAACTTGTTCTGACATTAAACAACTTCACCTTCAAATCCACCCACTTCTTCCAAGTAAAACGTGTCGCTATGGGAACACATGGATCCCTGTCTGTTTGTAGGCCACCTGGAACACTCTTTGTTCTGGGCCTACTCAGGTCCCCTCCCGATCTGTTCCTCAGATACATCGATTACTGTACTGGAGCTGCTTCCTGGCTCTCGCACTGAGCTGGAACAATTCGCCAATTTCACTTCCACCCCTCCGTTACATTCACATGGTCCATCTCCGACTCTTCCCTTCCTCGACTTCACCATCTCGGGGCATAGATTATCCAGATAGCTTTTACAAGCCCACCAACTCTCACCGTTACTTGGACTACACTTCCTCCCAACCCACTGCGTGTAAAGACTCCATTCACATTTTCTAGTTCCTCGAACCTCCGCTGCATCTGCTCTGATGATGTCACCTTTCACACCAGAGCAGCTGAAATGTCTTCCTTTCTCCTCGGCCGAGAATTCCCCTCCACCATGCTTGCCACTTCAACTCTCCCTTCCACTTGCACTCTGACGTTTCCATCATGGTCTCCTACACTGTTCCAATGAAGCCCAGCGCAAGCTCAAGGAACAGCACCTCATCTATCTGCTAGGGACCTTACAGCCCTCTGGCCTCATTATCAATTTCAACCACTTCAGACCATAAGAACAGCTCTCATCTTCCTATCTCTCGTAACAGCTCACATTCCCCTTCACCCTCTTCAGTGACCATCAGCACATCATCTGGGTCCCAGACACACCCTTTCTCTGGTCTGCCTCTGGTGCCCTCCTTTGTTTTGCATCATTGACACCTCTTTAACCCATCATCCCCTGTCCTCCACCCCACTTTCTCCTTTGTCTTTCTGGCCGCGCCTTCCCTCTCTGTTTGTCCTTAAAACTTCTCCCTACCAACATCCCTCAGCTCTGACGAAGGGTCGTGGACCCGAAACTTTGACCCACTTTCCTTTCTGCATAGATGCTGCCTGACCTGCTGAGTGTTCCAAGCGATCCCTGTTTTTGTTTCAGACTTCCAGCATCTGCAGGATTTTACAATTTAGCAGAGGAGTGCTGTTCATTTGGGGGCAATACTATGACATCTAGAGTAATGTGTCGGTAAGCAGTTATTCAATTCAATGGAAAGTGCTCACCTCTTCTGTTCTTTTTCTTAGGTCCTTATCTGAATATAGTGGATGGGTGGTCACAGTCCGCCCTGTGCACAGCTTGACTGTTCCCATGAGCTGCATGCTGCCAGCCAGCACAGCAGCAGTAGGGGTTTGTTTTCTGTACAACAAGAATAAAGAAGTTGATTAAACGTATGAATTGAAACTGCAGCACTTAGTTGACATAGTTAAGATGTGAGTGGGTTGGGATGGTACAACATGATGTGTTGGTGTGCCAGTGCCTGAGACTGCCCGAAATGTAAGCTCTTCATCTGGACTGGACAGTCAGGTAGGAACAATGTGTAGAGAAGGGGGTCAGCCCCATGTCCACTCGCTCTTGCCTTTCAGCCACTAGCTTCAGAGTAGCACATTCAGTGATTTGATACAGTATTTCTCAACTAATGGTATAGTAGGCAGTGCAGAAAGCACGAGTGAGAAATACATTAATCAAAAGGGAGGTAGATCGGAGCCATTTTAAACATACTAAAGGGTTTTACATAGAATCCACAGCACTGAACCCAAACCATTTGACCCATCTAGTCCGTTCCAGTGTTTATACTGCAGCCATCCTAATCCCTCCTCCTGAGACTCCTCTTATCCCTCTATTTCCTTCTTCTTTGCTTCTGCAGGTTTCTCGGGATTAAGTTTAAAATTGTGGAAATAAACTATATTCTAATGTTAAATATCTACCTTCTGAGATTGCTGAACTTTAGTTTAAAAAGTACATTTTGAATTCTAAAAGATTGTACATGTAGTGTATCCAGACTCTAAAAGGTGTTCGACTTTTTAGAGAGTCTCCTCCACTAACTGAGGTCATTGGGCATCAAAGTAAGACATGAACATGGATTCAAAATTAACTAAACAGAAGGAAGCAGACTGTCATTGTTAGGAGACCTGGGTCAAAATGAGTGGAGGGATTGAACGCGGGGGTCTGTACTGAGATCCCTCTTGTTCCTTGTAAACACGAATAACCTGGATTCGCAGACTCAGTGCAAGGTAGTTGCATTTGCAGATGACAACAAGAGGGGTCGAAATGTGGACTAAGCAGCAGATAGCAAATGTCTTAGAAAGAGAGCTTGATAGGGTATTGACATGGCCTCGCGACTTGACTTCTTAACTGAAAATGTCCATGACATTAAAAAATTGTTAAAAAAAAGCTAATATATTCTATAAATATATCCTCACCAGAATTTTTAGTCCAACAAATATAAAAACATATAGTGTGCATTGTACCACACTTAATATTTTTACTGTGAATTAGCATTACGTGGAAGTGCAACATACAGCATGCTACTGCCGAGAGTTTAGAACTTAGTTACAAATAACACTGCATTATCTGAAGTGAGTTAACTAATCTTCCTGAAGCCACTTACTTAACTACCTGATATCAGCTTCCTGTTACTGAAAGGTACACAAATCTAGAATGATGAATATCCGCAAACATGTTAAATGAGGGTTTGCGTTATATAGCACCTGCAGGTATGAAAGTACTGAACGAGATAAGAGTGAGAGGATGGCAGTGCAGTTAACTAAATGCCAACTGACTGAAATTAAATCGGGAATTTTATCACTGAAAATAAATAGTTCTTTACATTCCTTGCTAAATTACTTCAGCTACTTACAGCCTACCATGTTGCTGCTAGGCAACAAAGGCTAAAGTTTTACGCTGTACAAACAGACCACAATCCTAGGCTCAGAAAAGAATCACACACCAAACATTCTTCTGTGTACAGAGTATTTATATAAATTCTTAAGGATAAATGATAAAACAAAGGTGTAGAAACCAGGTATTGAAGGTATTAATTCCAATATGGTATTGAAGTGGTCAAATACTACACGAAAGGGGAACCACAACAACTTGCATTTATATCATAAGATTGGTCTGGATGAAGATGACCTCTCAGCACACTCAATTTCATCCCTCCAGAACACCTGCCCCGACCATCCCCTCATCACAGCATCAAGCTGCTTTTCAAATGAGTCTTGTGTCCTGGCCCCCACCACACTGTCCTGGCCTCTCGCCACTGAGGAGAGTGAGCATTTCATTCCAGACATCGGGAAATTTTTATTTGTGCAGAACTCCCAGCAGGTTAGTTTATATATGCTTAACCATTGGGATGATCAAAATATTCTCTCTCTTTCTCTACAGCTGTGACTGGATAGTAGAAAAAGGCAATGATTAGAGGCTAAGATTCTGCTAAGACACGAGGTTAAATGATAATAATAATCCTTGCATTTGATGTAGTGTCTTATCACGTCGTTGAGACGTCTCAAAGCACCTCTGACAAAGCAACACGGCCCTAGCACTGTATTGGAAGAGCTAGACTGTGTGATTCCAAGTCTTGATATGGGGCTTCAAAGCGGTCAGAGCGCTATGTACTGCTATGCAGGCTGATGTCCTGCTTCTGCAACAAAGTAATGGACCAACCAGTTAAAACATTGCTGTAAATGAAGTTGGTACAGGTTGTTATGACGCTCAGCTGTATGCAGAGTGGAGGCTGCTGAAAAGAGCCTGATAGACATGGTTCCAGCTCGGCACGAGGCCTTCTGCACTAACTAAGAATCTGCTCTGCGTCACTCCGGGACCTGCCTTTGTTTTATCTGACTGTGTCCAACAAGCCATCTGAGCTGGCCTACAAAAGGAGGGTCATGGTCTGCCTGAAGAAATTGGACCACAAGATTGTGTACCCCCACTCCTCATTACACTCACAAATTGGTGATTAAATGCACAATAATAACAAAAGCTGGTTCTAATTAGTACTCCATGGAGTTAATTCCCTGAAAGTTTGATTGTTTAGTTTATAGTTTAAGCCCACCTCAAGACTTTGACCGCATTTCAGTCGTCTTTTTCGCACCCACCCCAAATCTCTTTAGCTCCCTCTCCCCCACTACCCCTGGCTCAGATTGTGAATCACTTTGAGACATTCTTCAAAGTGAAAGGTGCAATACAAATATAAATTGTATTATATAGGGCTAAATACAGAGTGACTTTTCAGGGCTGGCTATGTGCAGTAAAATATTCTTCACAATACATTCTTAGTAATGTTCTTCACATTACGAAGAGCTCGTCGGAAAAAACATCAGTAGGAATGCTGACGGAAATAGTGCCTCAACATGCCAGGCCTGTCTACCACAGGGAATACTACTGACTGCGAGATCATGGTCAAAGCAGGAATTGTATAGGTTACTGTGAAGCACATTGGGTTCCCTGAAAAAGTCTCACTTTACGTACCTGGATGGGAGGCAGCATTGCCTCTACCATGTTTCTCCAATGAACATTTTCTCAGCACTGGTACAGCAACAAAATAAAAGGCAGTGTTTGCGCAAAATGTTTTAATCTCCTCGAAAATGTCAAAACATTCTTTTGGAAAGGAAAGAATTAAGTCTTTCTGATCCACTGTGACAAACAGGATCCCCAACAACAAATAGCAGCAACAACAGCAGTAACACACACTCTATTTCATTCAGGAATTGAGCAGGAAGATGAGACTTCGGTTTAACGTTTTACACTAAGGATGGCTCCAACAATGCAGCACTTCCAGGGTTTCCCTATCACTGCACTGGAGTATCCGCCTGGATTACATGAATTCAAAGTGGGACTTGACCCATGATCTTCTGACTCAGAGCTGAATATGCTACCAACCGAGTCAATTTGACTTAATTATATCTTAAAAAGGTTTGATCCTGTCCTTAACCAATCACTAAGCCTACATACCTTCCAGTCTGTGTGCTTTACCCTCCGTAATCCAGTTTTACTAACACCAATTATAGTATTGCAACTGCTGTCGTGACTAAGATCAGCTAACTCAGGCCAGACTGGGACGACATATTTAACACCATCTAATTTGCCTCACGTGAAAGAAGCACAAGGCAAAGATCAGATACGTTATATAGTGCAGGCACAAAGGTACACCTCACCTGATCCAATTCATCAATTCCACTGTATCAGTATCATAGAATTCTTGAAGTTCAGAGAGTTCATCCATAACTTCTGGAAAGAACTGAGAAAAAACAAGGAGAGAACACCATTGTCTGAATCATTTGCCTTTACTCTAACACACCATCTTTTTACAGTGGTTAGCATTGTAGCCAATAAATGTTATCTATTCTCTCTCTCTTTTCCCAGACATTGTTGCTTCTCGTCACCCCAAGGTTTCGCTATTCTGGGACACCGAGTATCTGCAATGCTGCTCGGCAAGTAGTGGCTCAATAATAAGACGGTGAATCAGTAACAGCACTGACATTCTCGCTTGGACCAATCTATCCCTTTTGCCTTGCAGGTGGCAGACAAACCAACATTTTGTTTGACTGCTGACCAGCCAGCCTTTGTCTCCTCAATCCCAGTTGAGTCCCAGACCTCACTTACCTCCCTTCCAAGGAAGTTGGTTTTGAAAATGACACAGTGCTCATTTCTAACAACCTTGAAAGGATGAGTGGATCCACCTGAACCCAGAACCTTCTCATCCCAAGTTTGGTGCTTAACTAACATGAGCGACAACAGATGTTCCATCAGCAGAAATGTTGCCGGAAATAGGCCTCGACATGCCAGGCGTGTCTACCGCGGGGAATTTAAGTGCAGTAGGTTAACTAGGTTAATATCTAGGGATACTAAGATGGGATCTCACATCTCCTACTGCCCAAAAGCTAACATACATGTGGTTCACATACTTTTCAGTTACTGCAAAACGTTTAGTGATATACTTACATCCCTCCACATGCTGAATCCAATTATTGTTGGAACTGCGGTACTTAACATGAGAGCCTAGTTTAAAAGCACAAAGGATTAATTTTCAATACGCTTTCTATCTAAAACAAACAGCTTCTTGCTTCAGGTATATTGCATATTGTTCAATGGATAATTACTATCTCTCAGTCAGACAAGAGGCTGGAGTGCACAGAAATCTCTTGCTGTGGTTAACACTTTACAGCCCAGATGCTGGAACTCACAGCAGCAGAGTTTGTTTGGCAATTCTGGGAGGGAGGGGAATAAGAGGTGGGTGTGGAGAACACAGGGACAGGTTGGCAGAAACAAAGCCACGAGAGACTCGAAAGGGGTATTGTATAATTACTTGCAAAGCATACAGCTATTTCAGTTACAGACTGATGTATAATTAACCAACGATCAAGACTCAAATCTCATTTGTAGTAATTATTATATTGTATATTATGCCCTAGTTTTAACAACTTGAACTTATATAAGCCTTCCATGAAGGATAATTGTCTTGAAGCGCTTAAATCCTTTAGAATAAAAATACAGTAAAATTTTCTAATATTGCAGAAAGAGTAAATTGTGCCCACTTTGCAACAGCAACAATTTGCATGTGTATCGCGCCCTTCACATGAGGTAGCATCTCGGAGCACTTAAGTTTTATCAACTGCAATAAAAGTTAAGTAAATTATATGAATGCAAAGCAAATTTTACAAGTGCCTAGCTAGCTGCAAGGCTATTTCGCAATGAATCGACAATCCAGCCTCAATAGGTGGAAGCGCAACAAATAATGTTTGTCCCTCCCTAACACCTTCTCCCCTACGTTATTTAGGGAAGATTTGACACTCACCAAGGTGAACGCGGGCATAGGAACATTGTCTTACTTCTTAAGACAACTGAGCAAAGTGGACAAGCACCAATAGCAAGAGGATCGAATCTGGCTTCACTGGGGCACTGACAACCTTACTGTGAACATCACAAGAGCTGTTACAAGAAATAGAAAGTGTACAAGCTCCAAATAAAGAGAGGCTATTTCCACGAATTGGCAAGTCAGGGTTCCATCCTCAGCAACAGCTGCTATGCCCTTGATCAGAACACAAATTTGCCATAAAAATACAAGTTCAAACAGAGGCATACTATATCCAAATGTTTATTTTGTGTGCTTTTGACACTCAGTTTAAGAAATTCAGGAAAAAAAGTCACTGCAACATTATTATTGCTGAAACTATAAGTAAAACAGCAGCAATTTATAACTAAAAAGGCTTAATTTGATAAGAATCAAAGAGAAACAGGCTGAACTCACCAGAAACACTGGAGGTATTGTTTTCAGCCGGAACCACTTAAACACAGTCAACCAGAGCTGAGGAGCACAAACACCAAAGGCAGTGAACATACAGGCGTAAGGTGTCCACAAATACTTCAACCTGGGAAGGACACAATGTGCAGTAACAGGTGTTACAGGGCAGGACATTATTCAGAACAGTTCAATCAACAAAATACAGTCACTACATATTACAGTAAATCCTGTGAAGTGCTTTAGATGTCCTTCTGACGTGAAAAGCGTTAAATCGAATGCAAGGATTATTATTGTAAAGGAAGGTAAACAGTGCCACCTGCTGGCCGTTTGCAGAACCACTTCACTTTCCTTTCGCAACACAAGTTACCAACTTAATTTGTATGTATGTTTTTGCAGTCTAAAAACTACTGCACAAAAGAAAAAGAAAATGGAAATGTTAATATACACGGTCCCTTTCATGCACTGTGACCATTAATGGGGAATAACTGCCTCCTAAGAAACTTTAACCCAAAGATCTCACAAGAATAAAGCAACACCAGCAGAAGGCAGCCATTCCTTACCATAGAAACCACTATTTGTATTACACATAAAACTAGTTTAATAAAACAGGAGTTCATTCCCACTCCACATAACAAAGATGTGTATTATCTATAAATCATTAAGTAAGTCACTGAATTTTACTGGCACATATTATTAACACCTCGGCTGTCCTCGCGAACGGTGCAGAAATAAGGTGAAACGGGCAAAGCAATCACTCAAAGGCCTAATGTTCATTTTTTCTATTAATTGCTCACAACAGCCACCATCTCTCACCTCTGAATTTTAATCTCTCTTCTAACATCAAAAAGAACTTGGCCTCACTATCTCCTCTCATCTCAAGTGGGATTATTATAATATGTTAATATCATATTATCATCAAATCTCTTCTGAATTCAAATCAGCCTCCGTGGAGCTCTTTCTTCTTTACTGCTTAACATTCCTCATCAGAAAACCAGCTGCCAAATTGAAACTGAATTTTAAGACTTCTGGAATTTTGCACTTCAATCTGAATTCAATGATTTTAAAGCTAAGACTGTGAGAAATGTCAACAACAACAACTTGCATTTATATAGGGCCCTTCACTCAGGGAGGGTCTCGGAGTGCTTAACATTGGTGTGGTTTGACTTTGAGCTGGAAGGGGAGGGATGGACGTGACCGAAGGCACAGCCAAAAAGGAAACACTTCAGGTGTGATATTAAGACGGGCAAAGAGGGGGCAAGACTTAAGGATTGACGGAAGGACTCAGATCTTTAATCGGTAATGATCCTCTATTTCTCTCAATGCCTCAAAGACACAGTTTATAAATCTCTCACACATCTCTCGCCTCTGACGGTTCAGCTCTAATCTTCCTTCTTCGATTACAAGTCGTGGCCTCACTATCTCCTGCAAACTCAAAGCGGATTATCACATCTCCTCTGTTGTCAAAGCAGCTCCTTCCTCTTTCATGGCCAACATTCCCACCGACCCCCCCCCCCACCCCACCCCTTCAACACTGGAACAGTGATCCCATAGCTGGACAGGCTCTTCGAGCACGTCTGCCTCACCTCAAGGCAAGGTACATGAAAAGGTTTGCTGTTTAATAGGCAACCCTTCACTCTCATCTGTCGCCATCCTATCTCAGTCTGCCTAAACCTTTTCTATCTGTTATGGTCAATACTCTCCTGAGCTTTCTTTGCGTGTTTCTATCAAGGTCTAAATATGCTGTCCCCTCTAGAGTTCCCTCCCAGCTTTCTCACGATGTTATAAATCAAACTTCATCTCAATGTCTCATTCTCTAATGTTTTCTGCCCCCAGGATTCCTAACCTTTAGTCATTCTGTCCTCATGCAATTCACAAGCTGTTGATAATAATAATAATCCTTGCATTTGATACAGCGCCTTAGCATGTCTTTGACACGTCTCAAAGCGTTTCACACAATAATAATAATGCACAAACTTCTCATTTTTACTATTGCTCCTTTTAGCGTTGGACATCTAGTGTCCTGGACCACAGGCCTTGGCTCTTTATCTTGGTTTCTCAGCAAAAGAGACAAAGCATTGTGAAACCTCAGTGATTGTACTCACCCCTGGAACATCAGTGCCAGCGAGCCAAACAGCACCGTGTGGAACATGTGGTAAACTACCTCCGGCCTCTGCCCAATCATTGTGTTCTCCAGAGAACCATCACTCGTTTGAGGCACATTACTGCAGGAGAACAAGGCAACCGAGAATTAACTCATCAAGGGGATCTGTCCATCTGTGGCACAAAGTGACTTTAGAGGTGCTTCCTGTGCAAGTCATGCCAGTACGCAAGTCTTTAGTTAACTTAAAATTTCTCCTGAACAATGTGACTGCCTTTACTATAATTCATTGTCCTGGGCAAAGTGCATCAACAACAACAACAAGATTACATTTGTATAGCGCCTTTCACGTTGGGAGGATATCCCAAGGCGCTGGACAGTATACAGAATTTCAGACCCGAGCTGGGGTTGGGGGGGGGTAAGGGAGGGGAGGGGAAGTGGGGGTGACCGATGGCATGGTCAAAGAGGAGGGTCTTGAGGAGGGACTTGAAGGAGGCTAAGGAGGGGGTGAGGCGGAGTGATTGGGGGATGGAATTCCAGAGGTTGGGAGCAGAGTGGCTGAAGGCTCTCCCCCAATGGTGGGGCGGGTGGGTCGGGGGAAGTAGAGCAGGCCAGAGCCGGCTGAGCGGAGGGAACGGGCGGGTTGGTAGGAGGTTAGGAAGTCACAGGGGTAGGGTGGGGCGAGGCCATGGAGGGCTTTGTATGTGAGGACCAGAATCTTGAACTGGATCCTCTGAAGGATAGGGAGCCAATGGCAGCGCAGGTCATGGCTTGAATGTGGGGGAGAAAAGACAGTTGAGGGTCGAACAAGACATCTAGGTTCCTGCCTGGCTTGGTGAGTTGAAGTGTGCAACTATGGAGGTTGATGTTACCAGAGAACTGAGGTGCTGAGGCGCTGGTGCGAGTCAATCAGGAGAGCCTCAGTCTTGTTCACATTCAACTGTAGGAAATTTGCCCTCATCCAGGATTTGATGTCCGACAGGCAGTCTGTCAGGACAGCAGTGGTCCTGGAGTGAGGGTGGAGGCAGAAAGATAGAGTTGGGTGTCATCCGCATACATATAGAAGTTGACTCCATGTCTGCGGATGATGTCACCAAGGGGGAGCATGTAGATATTAAAGAGGAGAGGGCCAGATCTGACAGTGCGGGGGCTATAGGAGAAACCGTTAGAGGCAACGAAGTGGAGACGGTGAGTGAGATAATCTCTCTCACCATATCATTACAATGATGCCCTTCTGACTCTCTCAAAACAGCTCAAATTTATGTGAAAGAAATGTTTCAAAGGGCATTGCAGAATGAAATTAAAATTGGCATGAAGGGTGTTCTACAGACAATCCCAGCAGTTAATAAATGGGGGAGTGAATTTAGATGAGGAGAGGGAAAAAGAACCTATGAAAATTATGTGAATTCATTTTTTTGAAAAAAGTTTACTTTCAAGAAAATGGTCTAAAGATAGAAATCATCTCTTATGAGTTTGCAGTTTGAATAACATTGCTGTCTATCTATATCACACTATGTGGAATCCATGTGCAAACAAACACTTGCACAAAGGGAATTACAGATACCCTGAATAATGCAATTAACCAATAAAAACAATTTATTTCCTTTTCATTGGCTGTATAATTAAGGACACCTACTGTAATTTCCTCTGACATGTTTTACACATGGTTTGCATATGGCGCACAACAGATCCCAATGTTATTCATATTCTAGTAAAATAGCATGTTGTGTAATCACAGAGCACTCCTTTAAATGTCAGGAGAGATCAATCCGTCTATTTCCCCTAACCCCGGAGTCCCTAAGCTGGATTTCTCCATACATACCAGAATTTCTTGAAAACTACTTCGAAGGTTGAGAAAAGGCAGATTAGCAGTGCTGTCACACAGAAGGGAAGAAGACAGGTGTGCGTAAGACGGATAAAGAAATCCTGCGATGGGCTCTGAAAGGTTTCCTGACACAGCAGCAAGTTTGTATTGAAGTCCCTGTCAATGAAAGGAGAAAACGTGCAGACAATCAGAAAACTTCCCTGTACAACTGTAGTACGTCACTTCATGGAGCTCTGTAGGTTAGCACTAGACTTGATTTCAAATCCTCGGCTACCCAATCTTTCACGTTTTGTCCACAAAAATAGTCAATTCACTTTACAGTATATTCTGTGAGGCGCTTTGAGATGTCTCAAAGACGTGATAAGGCGCTAAATCAAATGCAAGGATTATTATAATATATTGATAAAATGAACTGTTTCTGTGAATAAAAACAGAGAGCTGGAAAAACTCAGCAGGTCAGGCAGCATCTATGGAGAAAGGAAAACGAGTCAACGTTTCGGGTCCACGAACCTTCGTCAGAACTGATGACGAAGAACTGAACTGACCCTTCGTTAGAACTCACTTTCCTTTCTCCATAGATGCTGCTTGACCTGCTGAGTTTTCCCAGCTCTCTCTGTTTTTGTTTCAGATTCCACCATCTGCAGTATTTTGTGTTCTGTTCATGTTTCTGTGAATATATGTTAAGAGATTCTGCTCTAGATTTATGAGCATAAATTGTTGAATTATGTTAATTTGTTGAATTCAGATTTAACTTTGAAGTCGGTTTTCTGTAGTTCTTAAAAGAAATTTGAATTACATAGAAACATTACAGTATGGAAACAGGCCATTTAGCTCAACTAGTCTTAGCCAGTGTTTGTACTCTACCTAAGCCTCCCCCACCTAATGTCCCTCTATTTCCTTCTCCTTCAGGTATCCATCAAGTTTCCTCTAGCTTCATAAATGGGTCACCCTGCAACATATACACTTAACAAGCAGATGAAGCACACACATATAGCACAAGTGTTTATTGATACTACATTAAAATAAGACTCTAAGCTTCATCAATACCTAGCACAAACATTTCAAACAATAAATAACCATTGCATTTGATAGAGCGCCTTTCACATCAGGAGGATGTGCATCTTATGAAAGGAAGAGACAAGTGCTCCAGGATTAACTGGTATTGTGACAGGAATAAGCTCAACATTACCTTGTAGTGTTCAAGTCAAACTTTGCTTCAAAGAACTTTAAAATGTGTTCATTTTCTTCTTCGGGGATCATTTTCTGAGTATTCAAAATGTAAATGATAAATTTAAACTTTGCAGTCAAAGTCAATTATACAATAGTTACAAAATCTCGTAAATGGTTGGTTTAGTACCCTCAGTGTTGCCTGCAAAACCTAACTTACTAGCGGTATTCCCATGATAATCACATTTTCATGCTTTGATGTTACTAAATGTCTGAGTCTCTTACCCACCTCCTTATAAGTGAGGCACAGCTATATTAAAGGGTATTAAAAACAATGTTCCCCTGCAGCTGTCTCTTCACGTCTGCATACATTCAATTGATCAAAATGATTGAGAAAAAATTGATGAAATAATCAACTGGAAAAAACAGTTTAGACATGTTGTTCAGATGTATTATTTTACAATATCCAGCAGGGCAAGAGGCAATCTTCAATAAACTAGTGCAAAACATGTGACAAATCTAAAGCCCATAGAAAGCTGCTGTTTCTCTCCAATACAGTACTGCACTTCTACTTACCTTGATCACAAGGTTTAAAGTCAATGCAACTGTGAAAACCAAGTAGAAATGAAGCAGTAATTTCATCAGCCTTACTACAAAGTGGCCATTTTTCAGATTTTGCTGTCAAACAAAAACAAGAGAGAAAATAATTAGAATTAAGGCTCGTCAATCAGTCCCTCCACCCACACCCCCCCAGCTCCGACCACTCCTCACAGCTCTCATCCCCAGCTCGGGTGCCCGCACAACAATATCAAACTCTTTGGGAAGTCCTCCCAATGTGAAAGGCGCTATATAATTGTAAAGTTGTATTTTATTGGAGAGAATTTCCATTTCATTAAAGAAAATCTGACCTTGTTCAAGTATTAAGCTCCAGTCAAATGAATTCACAAAGTTGATAGTAGCCGTGAATATTTTTGATAACTAAGGAGGATGTGAAATGGAATCCATTATTGTTGAACTCAAATGAAAAGTGGAATCCTGTAGCAGTGATTTAACGCACTCAACTCGCGAGCGAGAGGACCTGGGTTTGATTCCTGAGCAGAGTGAAATGTTAGGTAAGTTTTCTTATTCCACATGCCTCTGTTTTACCTAGCAGTAAGTAGGAACCTGGTTGTAAGCCAATTGACGGATCATTTTCCAGGGGTAATAATCCCTCCCTAAATGCACTCAATCCACCAATGTTTGTTGGGCACTGCTGTACGTAATTGGCTGCCGTGTTTCGCCCACAAAATACACAGTCAATCCACTTTACAATACATTCTGTGAAGCGCTTTGAGTTGTCTCAGGCCCTATATCAAATGCAAGTATTAGTATTATATTGCAAAAGGCAAAACTTTTTGAAAAAAGGACCCAAGTCTGGTTCAGCCACCTGAATGTACTTTGCAAGCTGTGAGGCACCTAGGAAGCTCAGCAAAGGGGAAGCCAGCAAAGCAGAATTTCTGAACTGCAAAAAATATCCTAATCCAAGGCACACCAAATACATCCTGTATACATCAGTCACCTGCAAATAAAAAGACAATCCTTCACTATTTTACAACGGCATTAGCATTCCCACACAAAAATAACAAAACATTTTTACACTGAAATGATTTGTGTGAATCAAGAACATTTGGGGGATTCGCTGAATTTCTCTATTGTTATTCAAATAGGTAGCAAAGTCACTTTTGTACATCTTGGATTTCTTTTTAAATTACAATTATGTAGTGTGAAATCTTCTAGGATAGTCTGTACATTAAAACCCTTTTATTAAGCTCTCTGATTATAACCATGACCTCAAATCTAACTCACGTCGCTCAGGGCTCCCACAGTAATTAAGCAAGCATATAAAAAGTACCCTCTTCTGAGGATTCTAGTAATAGGTTTTGCAAAGATTTCCAAAGACAACTTTATGAATAAAGTCCAATATGGCTGAAAGATTGATTGCACTGTAACTTGAAATTTATTCCACCGAGACTTGCATTAAAAATGTAGACGGATATTTGGAAATGATAGATTGGATCACCCTAACCTTTCATCCTTTGTTGGAGAGCACAATATAGCTTTATTCAAATGTTAACCTGCCTCACGCTGATTACAATTTTGCAACAAAAAGTTAAGACATCCCAACCACAATTACAATACAAATTTATATAACGCCTTTCATGTTGGGAGGGTGTCCCAAGGCAGTGGACAGTTCAGGGTTTGAATCCAAGCTGGGGGTCAGGGCAAGGGCTGGAGAAGATGACCGAAAGCTTGGTCAAAGAAGAAGGTCCTTGAAGGAGGCAAGGGAGGGGTGAGTCTTCTGAAAGGATTCCTAGATGAAGTCCTAGAGAATGGGAGCAGATAAGCTGAGAGCCATGCCACTGATGCTGGGGAAGCAGGCCAGTGCCCGCTGAGGGGAGGGAGCTGCCAGAGGGTTTGAGAAGGTCGTAGAAGTAGGGTGAGGCAAGGGATTTAAAGGTTAGATCCAGGATCTTGAATTCGATCCGTTTGGGTATGGGGAGCCAGTGAACTGTCCTTTCTCCCCCACATCCGCGCAATGACCGGCACTGCCTACCACCACCTCCGCAACATTGCCAGACGCCACTGCCTCACCCCTCAGGCTGCTGAAACGCTCACACACACATTTGTCACATCAAGACTCGATTACGGAAACTGCCTCCTCATTGGCCTTCCCAACTCTTCCCTTCCCTTCATAAGCTGCTCTTCCCTGCAAAACTCTGCTGCTCGTGTACTCTCACGCACCAGGCACCCTGACCCCATCACTCCCACCCTCGCCTGACTCCACTGGCTCCCCATCCCTCAGAGGATCGAATTCAATATCCTCGTCCTCACTTTCAAGGCCTCCATGCCCTGCTCTCTGACCTGCTGACTCCCTACCAACCTGCCCGCTCCCTCAGTTCAGCGGGCTCCGGCCTGCTCCGTGTCTCCCGCCCGACCCGCCCTACCATTGGTGGCCGGGCTTTCAGCCTCTCTCCCCCCACACTCTGAAACTCCATCCCACAGTCCCTTCGCCTCGCCTCCTCCCTTGCCTCCTTCAAGGCCGGTCTTAAGACCCTTCTCTTCGATCGTGCCTTCGGTCGCCTTCCCACCTCTCTTTCCTTCCCTCACTGCTACACCACCCCTCCCCCATGCTCGGGTCCCGACCAAAAAATCTTAAGATTAAAGGTTACAAAAAAAAGTTTTAAATGAACGTCTATAACCAGCAGCCCCCATCCCGACCCAACTGTCCAGCGCTTTGGGACGTCCTCCCGACGTGAAAGGCGCTCTATAAATGTAATTTTGTTGTTGTTGAGCCAGGTGAGGTGATAAACTTGTGGAACTCATGCAGGAATGGATATCAGCTGCAGAGGACTAGATAATCTGCATTTTAAGAAAGGAAGAGGTGAGTAGTCAGTGAACAGAGCGTTGATGTAATCTAGCCTGGACATGATCAACATGTGGATTAGGGTCTCGGTGGCCTGAGATGTAGTGATGGAGGCCGGCAATATCACGGAGGTGGAAAAGCATAAACGTGAGGTTTAAAGGACAGTTGAACAAGACATGAGCTTCCACTCAGACTCTGTGAGGTGGAATGTCCAAGTGGTTTGAAGCTGTCAGCGCCTGTTGATGGGAGCCAAACAGGAGAGACTCTGCCTTGTCAATGTTCAACTGAAGAAAGTTAGATATCGCTTTCCACAAAATCATCTATTGAATTTGATGGCTCAGGTGCTGACATTACACATGGGGGCTGCTGGTTTTAGATGTTCATTTAAAACATTTTTTTTTAAACCTTTAATCTTCAGATTTTTTGCAACCCGTTTTGCAACAACAAAAATAGCCAAATTTCTAGCCGTAATGTGGCTCAGGACATCGCTTCCTGCTTGCTGCACATGTACAGTCATTTTTGTAGTTCAAAATGATTTTTAGAAAAAGCAAAAATAAAATGAGGGGAATTAATTTTCCTCAATTTGGAGAAAATGAAAAAACCTGATGAATACCAAATTTTACTGACTAAAATCAGAAACCACAAGCCTAATTATACAGTATGAATCTGACTGGCAAGAGAGTATGACATTTACAAAACCAACTTTGAGACTGCAGAAATGCAACATTTTCAGTAACCCGATGTAATAGAGAATATAGATGACACCAGAGTGGTGAGACACAAGTTCAACTGCTCATCGAGACCACCGAACCATATGACACACACTCACAGACCACACACTTGTGGCAAATATTAGCATGCTCAATTTCAGAGAAAACAGGAAAAAAAACAGTGGAGAAATCCCATAGACCCAGCTTCACAGGTTAGACTTATTTACCAGCCCACATTGTCAGGCTCCTACAGAGCAGTTTTAAAGCAATGGAATTTGGAAGAACAACCGTACTAGTGGAATCAATTCAATGCTACTGCACTGCTAAGCAACTGTGAATGGTCACAAATTCAACTGTAGCATCAGAAGAGAGTTAGTGAAGTCATTCTATAAAAAAATGCTTGTGCAAATACAGTGGAAGCTGCTTAAGTTGGACACGTCGGGGATTGCTTGTTTTGTCCGAGGTTAACCGAAGTTTCCTTACCTCTTTCCACCCAGCAGAGGAGCGATGCTGTTCCAGTCGGACGGGAAGGGGGCCAATTAGCAGTAGCTCTGAGGTGACTGACAGCCTGAACCAGGTTGTGAATGGATGAGCACTCCACCCATTCACATGCGGGTCCAGCTATCAAATCAATCGCAATCTGACTCTCCCATCTCCATCCCAGAGCTGCTCGAGCAGACACACAGTGAGTTGACGCAGTGGCGACCAGAGCGGCATTCTGTCTGGATTAACTACATTTTTTCTGAATTAACCGTCATATTTAAAACAGGCAAGATTACAAATGAATCGGGGCCGGCCATTTTGTCGAATTTACCTGACGTCCGAGGTTAACTGGCGTCTGGATAAAGTGCTTCCACTGTATTTATCGAATGACTAGAGGTCAATTTTCAATGGCTGATCTTTGACTGATCATCCACTAACTAATAAAATAATTCCTGCAGTACAGTTGCTGCATTCCAGCACCCACCTCTCCCTCTCCCCCCACACCTCTCAGCAGGAATTATACGTTAGTTCTTCCATACCTTACGGGTTTGAACCAGATCCAGGCAATCCACCAAGAAAAGACTTATGGCTTGTACAAACAGCACATAGTGACTGATCTCCCACATCATTATAAAGGCAAATGTAGAGGCAGACATCAAGAGATATGAAAACATCTAGAAAAGGAAATGGGGAAAAAGCAGCAGGAACATTTAGGATTTATCATAGCTGATCCTTTTCAGACACATTTCTAATTTAATGAATTAAACTAAGTCATGAGGATGTAAATATCTCCAACATCGAGGCTCTGACTTTGAATCCAGCCCAAACTGCTGGGATTAAAGTCTCCTCTGCTGGATGTAAGCGAGACTACATAAAATGAGATTGGAATGAATGAATGATGTATTCTACAGGGACAAAAGCAAGTCAAGCATAAATCCATTCTGGTTTCTGTCACCTTCAGTAGAAACTGACAAATTTCTTATGTCTTTGATATGTACGAATGATTGACACAATTCAGTCTGGCTCTACTCTACACCCTTTTCAGCCAGTGAAATTTTTTTTACAACGGTTTCTTAACAACCAAGACGAAATTCCTCATTCTTCCTTAGATTCAGCCAATTCAGTATTTTCATTCACAAAATACAGTCACTCCACTTTACCATATATCCCGTGAAACTCTTCGGGATTCCTCCCGATGTGAAAGACGCAAAACAAATGTAAGAATAATTATTATTAGCAATAGAGTATTATTAATAACAACCAACACACCACTAACAACAACAGACAGGAACTTGCTTTGTTTCTTTTGGAGAAAAATTAACACTCCCTCCCCTCACTTCCCTGAACTCTAAATGATTACAAAGTTTATGCAAACAGATACAAGAGTGCAATGCCACACTCTTGCAGCAGTGATGCTTCAACAAAGTTAAGTGTTCCACATGATAGATAACTAGCTCAACTCTTGACAACATTATTAATTGCTAGGAGATTACAAGAGATTGGATGAAGAAAGGCCGTTGGGACATTCGACCTCACCCTTCCAGACTACAGTACTTCCCATCATCTTCCCTTTTCAGCAGAAAGTCACATAGGCACAATTTGGAAAATAATACTTCTATGTGACAACAACAACTTGCATGTATATAGTGCCCCTCACGCAGGATAGAGTGCCAGAGTGCTTTCAGGAAGTATCACCCAAAGGTAAAATTACTATCAGTAAAAAAAAATTCAGCTTCTTCTCTTTTTTTTTTGGTCAGCCGCGTGTCTGACACTCTCAGGAACACATCTTTGTTCTTAAGACTAGCCTAACCACATAGCATTCTACATATGCAAGCAACCTATGCACTGGAATTTCCTTGTGTTTGGAATTGTGCAATTCCGAAAGTGTTCTTGCTCTTTAGCAAGAGCTTGGGGATCCCACAGTGTCTATTGCTGCTGGGATTCAACCAGCTAAACCTCATAACTTGTCATTGAGATCGTTGTCTGGCAAGGTTCTCGCTGTTTGCCCAGCTAGGTCTTGCAGTGTCAACAGGAGTCTATTGCCCCTAGTGACTGGTCTACCCCTCCAGTCCTACTGATGAGCCAGGCTGGAGTACAACAGATACCAAGCTCAGGAACTGGGCTACCAAGAATGGGCTATCAAATGGGTTGACTAGATTCCAATACTCCGTTGCCTAGAACGTCACCTTAGAGCTAACTCAGTCTCAGGGAGACCCTCTATTCCTCCTACTCCCTCAGCAGGAGGATAGTCACTCACTGGCCATTTGACATCCAACTCAAACCAATCAATTGGTGGATACCAAGCCCTCAATATATAATAATAATAATAATCCTTGCATTTGATATAGCTTTTCACGTGGGGAGGACGTCCCAAAGCGCTTCACAGAATACACTGTAAAGTGAATTGACTGTATTCAAAGCCGAGTACAAGGCTTACTCAACACCAACTGCTTAATCCAGTCCTCACATGAGGGCTTTGGCAACAGACATACCCACCATGAAGTAGACTCCACCTCAAGAGCGATTAGCAACAGATCAGTGTAAATCAGAGTCCTATCTCCCTGCAACCGTTTTCTCCTATTTACCACAAATCCATGTCACTGCTTGGGCCTGAACTACAAATGATCTGAAGGAAACCCTCTATGCCAAGGAGCTTCAAACCACGAAGGAGAATCGTTTGGACAAATATTTTATGTGCCACAAGTTTAACCTCTGAGTTGGGACTTTGCTATCATTGAAGTGGACAAGAACGATAAGAGTATTCTTCTGCCCTCCTCAACCTGGTCCTCAAATAAACATTTGACACAAACTGAAGTATTTCCAAGAGTGTATTCCTGTGCTATTACTTCTTTAACTTCCTCACACTCACCTCCATGGTGGAGTTGATGTTGATCTTCAGATAGCTTGTGAGAGCAGCAACTTCTAATGCAAAATATGGTAGTGCCCAGTTCTCCCTTAAAGGAATGGCGTATTCCACTCGAGTCGTGTCTGTCCTAAAATATGCAAAACAGAAACAGTATCAGTTAAAGCACAAGCAATTTAGAATAGTAAAAAGCAATGAAAATGTTGCAACAAAAGCTATGGTTTACATGGCTGGGTAATGAACATACTAATTCGGCCATTGAGGAGAGATGAACCCTGTGCTCGCTTACTTTAATATCAACCAGTTTAAAAAATTGGTCATTCGCTCCATAGCCTATTGTGAGACCTCGCTGTGCGCATATTTGGCTGCCGCATTCGGCCACTCAAAAAAAGTCACTCCACTTTACAACATATCCCTTGAAGCTCTTTGGGACATCTTCCTAATGTGAAAAGCTCTAAACCAAATGCAAGGATTATTATGATGATGATTCTTATTATGATAACTGGTGGTTTGAAGTGCAGCACAGTGATGCAATTTAGTAGCGCTCTGACACACCATATTAGCAACAGTGATTATAGACCTAAGTAACCATCAAAAAAACATTGGAAGGACAGCATTTCCCATTCCCTATGCTAACGGTTTCCACCTTGTTGTAGTTACACAGTGGCACTGCAAAAGTAAGTCATCTCCACACCTTGGTCAGGAGCACTCTCACTTCTGGGTCAGAAGATAACGAATTCCATCCCCACATTCAGACTTTAAGATCACAATTTTGACTGAAACTCCAATGAAATGCAGACAAAGTGCTGCATTGTCAGAGATACCAATTTTCAGATGAGATGGTAATCTGATATCCCTTCTGCCTATTAGATGGCCGTAAAAGATCCCATCACGTTATTCAAAAAGAGAAGGGAGTTTCTTCCAGTGTTAGGCCAACAATCCCCCAGATAAACTGGTCATTCACTTCAGCCTTGTCCCACATAACTGTTTGTGGACTTTTCTGTGCACAAATGGCTGTTTGCATAGAAACAAAGTCGGAAGTTCCAGTATCATAAGGAAGCAGTATATTCTGTGAAGCGCGTTGAGACATCTCGAAGATGTGATAAGGTGCAATATCAAATGCAAGGATTATTATTATTATTAAGTGGCCTTAGACAGAATAAAAATGCACAAAAATACTTGTGAGCAAAGAGTGTCTTTATCACACATTGTTAAATCATAAGAAAGACAAATCAAAGATTGCAATTTCAGTCTCCAGGTTGTCTCACCGGTTGATTATGTACCACACGACTGTAAGCATGCCTGCCATCCACGTCCCACTCAGCATCCAGCTGGTGATATAAAGTGCAGTCACATACACCGCTTGGAGCCCAAATATAATGCCAATGTAAAAGTAAACTGGATCAATCACTTCCTGCAAGAGATGAGGTGATGGGGAAAAATAGGACTCAGCAACAACAGGTTTGGCACATAATATATTCACAGAGAATTCACCTTAACTTAAGCATGATAAGGAAGGCAGGTAATTGCTTTGAGTCATTTCCATTGATTAGAAAGAAGCTCATAAATAAAAACGGACCTGAAGATTTTCACCAGCTGACATGGAGTTAGCACACTATCACCTGAATAAGATTGGAGAGGCAGTTTTCTCTGTTCCCCCAAATTCCCACTAAGTAGGAATTCAAGATGGCAGCAGCCAAAACGTTTAGCACAACCATTATTCAGAAGTTGGGGGAAAGGGGAAAAACTACTGAAAACCACAAGCCATTCCTCAAATAAGGAATGAAATACAACAATGTTGACCACCTTAAGTATTATGACCGTTATAGTTTGGTGTTTCAAAGAATTTGACTGTCATACAGGTAAAATAACATAGCCACATTTGAAGAACAATTTAAGAGAAGCAACTTGATAAGCTAGAGCTCTTCAGCTACGAAAACAGACATTTCAGAGGGGACATTATAGAACTATAAAAAGTGACAAATGAGATTGAGAAAGTAAAACTAGAACAATACTTTCAGAGAAACCAAGGTACAGCAGATCAAGAGGGCAAAAAAAAATCTGGGTTGCAAAGTACAATTTCAGCTCAAACACCAGGAAGTATTTCTATACTCAGAGGGTAATTAACAACTGAAACTGGTTATTGGGAAATGTGTTTGAGACCAGGACTCATTTAAGAAGTCTCGATTCCCTAATGGAAAGACTGCAGATTGAGCATTCTGGAAGATTGAGATCAAATATGCCGAAGGGCCCTTTTCACTTGAACACTTCTTGTGATCGTGTGAGCCAGGTTAGCCTGGTTAAGTTGGTAACTCTCTCACAGAAGGTTGTAGGTTCAAACCCCTTGCCAGGATTTTGAACCTCAATAATCTAGGCTGACAAACCAATGAAGTATTAGGGATATGCTGAAATGTTGGAGATGACAACAATAAAATTACATTTGTATAGCGCCTTTCACATTGGGAGGACGTCCCAAGTTGCTGAAAAATCTTTCAGATGAGATGTTAATCTGAAGCCCCATCTGCCTAGTCAAGTGGATATTAAAGATTGTACAATGGCACAATTCGAAAAGAAAAGGAAGTTTTCTTTGAACTGATGAGGCTGCTGAGTATACCGATAAAATACACAGTTACTGCACTTTATATTCTGTCTGGTGAAGCACTTTGAGACATTCTTCCAGATGAAAGGTACTGTATTGAATGCAAGGATTTTTTTTAAACATAGGGCAGCTAGTTGGAACTATAGCCCAGTGTAACTCACTGCCTTCAAAAGATAAGGAAACAGTTTTTTTTTAAATTGCAAATATCGGACACGACTGTTGTCAGAGTGAGGCATTTGTAGTATTCTTGTTAGTAAAGAAAATTTCCTCTCTCCTTTCCTCTACAAAGCAAGGAAAAATATTTCACCCTGCACCCTTTTAATATCCTCATTTTCAGAATGAAAAGAAAATACATATACAAAGAGTTTCATTTATTTACTAAAATGAAATGTTCGCTATCTGTGTTCTGCGAGCGTACGCACCTGGCTGCCAGTCACACGGTACAGGATGCTGGCAAACACCTCTGGATACAGATGGATTTGCTGCACTGAATTGAGGGTCCTCATTGATAAAGTCTTGTTGTCATGCATCAGTTCAAAGAGACCTAATGATACAAATAAGACATTTTGGTATTGCATCAAAAAGCATAACATGTGAAAGGATAGATGAGGAAGGGAGTGGGGATAGAGGAAAGGAAAAGGCAAGTATCCCCCACCCACCAAACGCATGTCCTATGGAGAATGAGTAACATTTCCCCAATACTGAGTACACCTCCCACAGACCCAAGCACACCCTCCCAGAGATGACACTGATGCTGAACAACATGAGGGACACTACATTAGAGACACAGTAACATATTCAGCATCAGAGGCAAGATTTACAGTAAAGTAAGCTGTATGTATCGAGCAAGAATGCTTCAATGAATCCCATTAAGGGAGTTAGATAGTCTTAACCCACGCCCCCCCAAAAAAAATCTAATGATTGCTGAGAATTTTTAAAAATTACTTTTGGACAATTTTCTCTTTTATTCCTCTCTGAAGGTACCATCTCTTGTTGGATTATGAATTCACAGCCATCCACTACTTCACCCAAAAGGTCATTCTTCACATAAGAACATAAGAATTTGCTCAGCGAAAGAAGACCAAGGTCCACCTAGTTCACCTTCCACTATCCTGGTGTCAATTGCAAACCTAGTGAATGTAGGCAAGCTGTCTGTCTGTCTGAATGGGGCGGGGGGGGAGACACTTTGTAATGATGGAGGTTGGTAGCCCTTTGGGTGCCAAGGGCAATTGTAGTACTCCAACTGCTTCCCCAGATGAGATTAGCTATCTCCGCACACACAGGAATCCGATCATTAACATCTGGCCTGTAATGCCCAGAGCAGCACCAAGTGGTGCCTTTTACCCACTTAAACCAACAATGTTCTAAATAATTTTACTTTTGTATCAGCTTGTTATTGTTACCCATTAAAAATAGCTGTGGTCTGGTTCAGTGATTAGCTGACTCAGGCCAGGACAAATCAGGTTTGATTAACTTTAACCCACTCTGCGCTAGTTAATTAATCTTAATTAGAGCAGTACTGGACACACTACAATTGTTCTCAATGGCCATGTAACAAAGGGAAAGGAAAATTAACTCAGGTTTCCGCCCCTGAACACGATTCCCTAGCCCTATCAGTGTCTTGGACATCCTCCTGAAGGGAAAGGCGCTATATATATATATATATATATACACATACACACACAATTTGTTGTTGTAGTCATGTGTGGGGATGTCAGCCAATGACAGGATCATATTTGCCTGAATAGTCCGCCAACACCAACACCTTAACAAGGGTCATTTGGTCAAGATGCCAGAGGGCAACAGGTGCCTGTGGAACAATATCGCAGAAGGATGAGGGTAAAAAAGCTGTGGTCTAAACCAAATCCCACATACTGCCAATGTAAGCCAAATAAACGTGTCATAAGTGGCACTCCAGAGGAGGGTTAGAATATGGAGCATATTCCCAGTAAAATAAATTAGCTAACACAGATTCTCAGCTTTTTTGGTTAATCAGTAAAATCGCACGTAAAACACAAACGCAGAAGAATTGCAGAATTTCTGAAAATACCTTCCTGGATTGACCCCGCCTGCAACATCTTTTTATAGTAGTAATAATACAAGCCACTGTCCGCCTGAAAGGAGATTTCACGTTCAAGATCCTAAAGAGCAGGAAACGACAAATTGATAACAATAACCTCAAAATAAATAACAATAAAAACAGGAGGTCCAAGCATGATTAGCACCAACATCAAGACACCTACAACATATTCTGCTCATAAAGCAAAATCTTTACAAAAAATATTACATGCCTTATAAAAATGTCTAACTACATTATAAATGATTTGAACGCCTGTACATTGTTGCCAATGTACACTGGCATCACATCACACAGACTAGGATAACGTGGGAAAGATGGGGAGCTCATTATTAAAAATATCATTAAAAACGAAGCTGGGTAGCGTCACTCTTAGAAGATTTTGGGTTCATGCTCCATATCAAGGACATATCAAGGACCGTTTTGTTCGACCCTGAGCTGTCCTTTCTCCCTCACATCCGCATCACAACTGGCACCGCCTTCCATCACCTCCGGAACATCGCCAGACTACGGCATTACCTCACCCCTCACGCTGCTGAAACCCTGGTTCACGCCTTCGTCACCTCAAGGCTGGACTATGGGAACTCTCTCCTCGCCGGCCTTCCCGGCACCTCCCTCCACAAGCTGCAGGTCATTCAGAACTCTGCAGCTCGTGTACTGTCCCGCACCAGGCTTCGCGATCACATCACTCCCACCCTCGCTCTCCTCCACTGGCTCCCCATCCCCCAGAGGATTGATTTCAAGATCCTCATCCTCACCTACAAGGCCATTCACGGCCTTGCTCCCTCCTACCTCTCCGACCTACTATCCCCCTACCTACCTGCCCGTACCCTCCGTTCCTCTGGCTCCGGTCTGCTCCACGTCCCCCGCCCCAACCGCCCTACCATCGGTGGCCGGGCCTTCAGCCTCTCAGCCCCCAGGCTCTGGAACTCCATCCCCCAGTGCCTTCGCCGCTTCCTCCCTTTCCTCCTTCAAGGCCGGTCTCAAAACCTTTCTCTTTGACCGAGCCTTCAGCTCCCCTCTCGACTCTCTTCCTCCTCCTCGCTCCCTCACTTCCCTCCCCTCACCCTGACCATTTCCCCCCTCCTCGCTCCCTCCCTTCCCTCCCCTCACCCTGACCATTTCCCCCCTGCTCGGGTCATGACCCAACTGTGCAGCGCCTTGGGACGTCCTCCTGACGTGAAAGGCGCTTTATAAATGGAATCTTGTTGTTGTTGTTGTTGTTATGAGCTGATGGGTCTAGGCTGACATTGCAGCACATTTTTGAGGGGTACACTACATTGTTGGAGTTACTGACCCTTCAGATAAGGCATTAAACTGAGGTCCCATCTGCCTGTTCTTGTGGTCTTCAAAGATCCCATGATACTATTCAAGAAGATAAAGGTGTTTCTCCCAAAATCCTGGCCAATAGATCTCCAGATAAACTGGTCGTTCAACCCTGTTTGGGCACAAACTGGCTGCCTTGTCCACCTACAATTACAGTCACTATACGTATCAGTAATTACTGTAAAGCATTTGGAGACATTGACGCTTTAGGTGCTTTACCAAATTCAAGGATTATTACTGTTTTAAGAGCACAAACCTTAATATGTAATGATTCATTATACTTTAATTATTTAAAGACAGCAGTAGAATTTCTCTTCCAAATTAAAAATGTATTTAAAATGTATTATTGAAGGATCATATTGTGGGTTCATTTTGCCAATATTGTCATCTTTTCTTCCAATTTCGTCTTGCTGGTATAATGTTCCACAGGCATTTGCAGTGCTCCAGACCTTCATCCAAAGTACATTCTTCATGAGCAAGAGAATCAACAGACAGCTCAATTGTGGAAGAGATCACAGCCAAGCCCAATCCTGATCTCCTCCAAAGTCCAGACAGTTAAACGTTTCAGCAAGGATCACTGGACAGTGATCAGAAACAGGAACCCTAGCTGTGTCAATCTCTCCCTAATCTGGGCTATAATAATAATACAATAATCCTTCCTTTGATATAGCCCTTTTTCACATCTTCAACACGTCTCAAAGCGCTTCACAGAATATACTGTAAAGTGAATATATACACATAAATATATATATATATACATATAATGTCAATTGTTAGTAGCCCAGCTATGGCCCAAATGGTTGAGATCACTTAATTCAACACTGGCTAAGAACAGAACTTTGGCCTTCTGATGTCCATGGCTTGGCATGACACCAAGTACTGGCTTTATCTAACTGGGCACTGGTATCAGCTTGGCTCAGTTAGTACGTCTCTGGGTCAGAGAGTATGGGTTCAGTTGGGGCTAACACACCAGTGTAGTGCTTGGGGAGGCCTGGTTTGTTGTATGCTTGTCCTTCAGATCAGACCAAGGTCCCATCTGCTTGTTCAGGTAGATGTTAAAGATCCTATGACACTATTTGAAAACAAAACGAAATTTCTCCCAGTCTCCTGGCCAACAATCCTAAAGTTAAATTGATCTTTCATTTCATGGCTGTCTGAGGGACCTTGCTATATGCAAAATAGCTGCCACATTTGCCCTATAAGTTCACAGTCACTACATCCAACAACAATTACCCGCGAAATGTTTTGGGAAGTTTTGACGTGGTGAGGCTCTATATCAAATGTAAAGATGATCATTATTATTGAAGGAGTTGCAAATTGTGTTTTAAACATTTCTTTAAGATTTTACAATATTAAATAGCACAAATCTTCACTTATTTTGCAGAGGTTGTGTGGATGTAAAGTTGCAAATGAGAGATGATTCCCATGTCACTGGGTTTCAGGTATGAATTGGGCTATCAAGGACTCCCAGAGAATAATGGCAAGGCATTAACGGACAAGTAAAGAAAATAAACTCCACTCTCAGGCAGTGCTCAAGGATATTTTAGAGTTGTCTTAGCAGCAGTACAAGAGGTCTCAAATCAGGGTATCTGCAACACTCTCAACCAGGGAATCTGGCATTATGCAGACACTGAATACTCAAGGGATTAAGCATGGCTAGCTTACTTACATATGAAAGGCCAGCAAAAAAAAATGCACTGATGTTTTCAAATCTCAGCAGCACCATTCCTGACTAGTGTTTTATAAGGATTATATCTGCATCTTAAAATAAGGATCAAATCTATATAAAACACCTTTTACAATATAATTATCTCTGCTTGGAGCCACACGTTGAGAACTGCAGGTTTCCTTCAGCTATGCTAATTTTAATCTAGGTACTTGGGTTTTGGAATCTCGAGTCGAGTGGCTGATGATGGTTATGTAGCAGACACATAGAGCTCAGGACTCAAAACTGATGAAATCTGAACATGTGAGCCAAAGCATGCAGAATTCTGCATTCACACCTCAAGTTGCAGTGTAACAAAATAAACAAATATAAATAAATAATCCTTGCATTTGATGTAGTGCAGGGTTTACTGTAAAGCGTTGTGACTGTGATTTGATAGTTGAATATGGCATACAGCAATGTCCTACAAATTAGTAATTTTATATTGGGTATTGTTGGTCAGGACACCGGGAGATACTCCTTTGGAATCCTGTGGAGTCCTGTAGCTCAGTGGTTAGAGCACTCGCATTGTAAGTGAGAGACCCGAGTTCAATTCCAGACAGGGCGAAACCTTGGGCAAGTTTCCTTACTCCACACCTAATAATAATCCCTCCAAAACCAAAAACAATAATAAATTGGTCATTTTCAATCTAAGACTGTTTGTGGGACATTGCTGTGCGCAATTGGCTGCCGCGTTCGCCCACAAATATACAGTCAATTCACTTTACAGTGTGTTCTGTGAAGCGCTTTGGGACGTCCTCCCACGTGAAAAGCGCTATATCAAATGCAAGGATTATTATTATTATTATTTCTTGTTCGAATAGTGCCCTTAGCTCTTTAACATTCATCTGAACAGGCAAACGGGGTCTCAGTTTGACATCTCATCCAAAGGATGACACTTCCAGCAATGCAGTGCGCCCCAGCCCTACATTGGAGTGTCAACCTAGAGTATATAAGTTCAAAGTCCCAATGTAGGCGTTGAACCCAGAACCTTCTAACTCAGAAGTGAGAGTGCTACAACAACAAGATTTCATTTATAGAGCGCCTTTCACGTCGGGAGGACGTCCCAAGGCGCTGGACAGTTGGGTCAGGACCCGAGCAGGGGGGAAATGGTGAGGGGAGGGAAGGGACCTAGTGAGCCAGGCTGATATCTTAAATACAAGCTTTACACAAGCTCACAAGTATCAATGGGCAATCACCAGACAGAAAAATCTCAACACGCGCACACCTTGCACAAAGTCTAACAACTCATTAACCTTACTCATGCTCACACATGAAGATGCTCTTTTGGGAAAGGCGCTAGAGAATATTGCCATCCATTAAACATACTCTATTATTTTCAAGAGAGGTAAGCATACAAAAATTTCCAAACACACTGCTTGCTACCTGTACATTATTATAAAGAAAATTGGCACAGGATACTGGCAATCTTACCTGTCTATTAGAAAACCAGAATTTCCTCTCATGAAAGGTAGAAAGATACACAGCATACATCATACCACTGGCGATGGCTGCCCAGCTACCAAAGAAAACTTTCACCCATTGATGAAAGGAAGCTGCAAAATATTAAAAAGGTATTCTCAGGAGAAGAATATATGTAGACACATTCTGGGCAACACCCCATGGAGCCACCCCTAAAAGGTCACTCCCTTCAGTAGAGGAGTGATAAGGGATAAAACAAATGGAAAAAAATAAGGAATACTTGCTTTTAAAGGAAATTACTATAAAAATTGCAGGGAGTTTTTGTCCTGCTGAACCTTAGATATGAGAGACGGCCATAGTGAGGCCAAATGGAAATTTCCATGCATATGCGGAGCTTTCCGGTGTTGGTTTGGATACTCTTAAACTTAAACGTAGTGCTGGGTTTCTGCACGTGCCAGACACCTGGATGATCAAACAAAACAGTGACCTAAGGAGTTACTATTATTTTGCTTTGGACTCAATGTAAAACAACTGAAAATATATTTGGCAGAAGAAATAGTATTATGGGTTCTTTGAAGACCATCTTCAGTCTATACAGATGACCCCTGAGAATGCAACGATTGTAACTGGATCTCAGCAAAGGTCACTGCCTTCAGGTAATGCAGGCAAGGGGGAAATGAGAAGGAAGTTACTCAAAACATTTTTCTTCACAAATATCAATGTGAAAGCACTGGTTGGGAAGTACAATTGTGGCTGGAACATATTACTGTGTAAATGATAGCCTGAGTAGAAAAGGGAAGAGAGATCCTGTTTTTGTCCCAGTTTTGCTGCAGAAATGCAAATGTGTCCATTTTATGCTGGGGATAATGTTTGTCTTTCTGCACACGTGCAATGAAGCAGGCCCACACATTTTGGATAAGTTAATGTCGGGGTCCAAACCCCAAAATGCCACCAAGTGATCCTGCATTCTATTAAAGTCCTTTACAATGGACAAGAATAGTAAGAAAAAGAACAATTCACAGCCTTACATCTACTCTTTCCTTCTTTGTCCGAGCTGGTTGGTTTGTCTTCTTTTGGAGCAAGCTCCTCTGAGCGTGTCTCCTTGTCCATTGTTGGTTGTTCTGAGCATGAATCCTCTGACGTGTGCTGTAGTGAACATGTCTCCTCCAGTTTGGACTGCGGCGAACACGTCATTTCTTCCTCCTTCGGGGTTGGCTCTTCTTGGCACGGTTCCTTCTTATTTGGGACAGGCACTTCCAAAAACATCTCCTCCTCCTCCTCCTCCTTTGCGACAAGCTCTTTTGGGCATTTCTGTTCCCTTCGCTTTCTCAGTTCTGTCATTTCACCTGTAAAAGTAAAAGTACAAAGGAACATCAATTTTGGAATGTAAACAAATAAACACCTCATTATACCTGGTACAGGGAGATGATATGTGATCATGCTCCGTTATTGTGCTGGTTGCGACTTTATGACACCAACAGGGCTCCACTGTATAAACATGCTGAATATGGTATTTTCCTGCAAGGTTACAATCCTGTGCTGGGATTATATCTATGCTGATGCTCCAATACAGTGTTAAGGGTTTGCTGTTGTGTTGGAGGTGTTATCCTTCAGATGAGACGTTAAACCAAGGTCCTGTCTGCCTGTCCAGGTGGACATTAAAGATCCCATGGCACAAGAGATGGTCACCACCAGTCTAGGTTCACATATGAGATGTGACTACTTCAGGAAGATACCAAGGCTCTGTAGATATCAATTTGCACAAAGCTATCAGAAGAGACAGGGAGAAGTTTGACACATAATCTAGTATCGATAGTCTGAGACTAGATAGAAGCATTTAAATAGAGACATATGTGCATAGGAGCAGATCTCATAGAGCAAAATGTGAGCATAAGCACATTATGTTTGCTCTTGTAAAGAAGTGGTACAGTTCAGAGTGCACACTCTCCACAATGCTGTCTTTGGAACCTTGAACAAAAGCACCTCAAAGTCACATTTGATATGGTTTCCCTGTTGAGGCAGCTGCAGATAATACGCGTATTAAGGTCACAGAGTATTACTGTATTGATTCTGGCTGGAGGCTTAAATGGCCAAAGCTAATTAATTTTTTCACCTGCAGGCATTAAATTATCAGGCATTAAATTAGTGCATTAACACAAAAACAGAGACCCCAAAATAATTATTTTGGAGGTGGGTTGATAATGTGAAAGAGCAGAAGGTGCACCTGGGACAATGAAGAGCCAAGTTACGGTTTAGCTCCCCCTCTGCTGCAGGCACAGGGTTAGATCACAAGACTAACAGCTGAAGGTGGGGAAGCTTAATGGATAGACAATCTGGTTAAACCAGTTCCAGGGCCTCTGATTTCCCATGATGTCACCTTCAAGTACAGTAACTTTACTCTATTCACCCACATCTAGTTTTATCTACTTGTCCCCACCCCTTCTCCTTTTACCTCTTGGGATCTAAACCATCACCTTTAACACCATTACGCCACATGTCCGGCGTGGAGGGTGCTATACAAATCCAAGTTGTTGTTGTGGCTGTATTCATTTTGCTTTTAAACTACAAGCTTGTCTCTAGAGTCGTGGAGTCCTGTAGCTCAGTGGTTAGAGCACTTGCTTTGCAAGTGAGAGACCTGAGTTCAATTCCAGGCAGAGGGCGAAACCTTGGGCAAGTTTCATTACTCCACACAGAGCCTAATAATAATCCCTCCAAAACCAAAAACAATAATAAATTGGTCATTTTCAATCTACGACTGTTTGTGGGACATTGCTGTGTGCAATTGGCTGCCCCATTTGCCCACAAATATACAGTCAATTCACTTTACAGTATATTCCGTGAAGCGCTTTGAGACGTCTAGAGGACGTGAAAAGCGCTATATCAAATGCAAGGATTATTATTATTATTGTATTGTAAACAACAAAAACAACAAATTACATTTGTATAGCACCTTTCACATCATCCCAAAGTGTTCATTGTTCCCAGCTCTGATGTCCAAAGACCTGACAGATTCAGAACTTTCCATTGCCCCCATGTATGAGTGATCCAACTCAATAAGAAATCATTTTAAAATCCTTGCTTTTGAGTCTATCACGGCACAGAAAAATCTCAAAGCGCTTTACAGAACTTTACTTTAAAGTGCAATGACTATTTCTAGGCGAACACTCCATAGGATCAATTTGAACAAGCAATTAGAGACTGTTAGCCCGGATGCCGGGAGAAACTCCCTTCTCTTTCTACGCAATGCCACGGAGTATTTAACATCCTGAACAGGCACACAGTTTAACTCAATTTAACATCTCATCCGTGCTTTGGAACGTCCTCCCGAAGTCAAGGTCATTCAAAGGATAGGACGGTTGCAGAATTGGCATTAATATCCCCAGCAATAATAAAAACAATTCTTGCATCTGAAATAGCGCCTTATCACGTCTTCGAGATGTCTCAAAGCATTTCACAGAATATACTGTCAAGTGAATTGACTGCATATGTTGTGGGCGAACACATGCACAAATCTTGACATCATTGTATAAATGTTTACGAATAGTAAACCTATGGAACAAGCTCCCTAGGGAGACGGTTGAAGCAGGAAGTGTTGATTCCTTCAAACACAAATTAGATAGTTTTCTTTTAGGAAATAACATTATGGGATATAGTACATAAGTAGTTCGGGACATATGTGCATGCGATTGCCAGGAAGGTGGAAGGCGAACTAGATTGACCTTTGGCTTTTTTTCATCCAGCATTTCTCATGTTCTTATGTAAATATCATAGTGGGTGCGTGGGCCGCCACTAGAAATTTCATTGTGACCTCCTTTTGCCAAACAGCAGCAGCATAATCGCGAACAAAGCTGGGACCAAAGTCATCTGAATGTTAGGCAAATCTCCCAACCTCTGCTACCAGCATCTCATTAGTGGCGATAGCCTAAAACCAATTGTAATGGGGGTTCACTCACGCATGAACTTGTCAACTCTGTTGCAATAGTTACACGACAATGTCAAGATATCCACGTATGTGCGGAATGTCATATGCTGCAGGTGGGAGCAACGATTCCTGTTTCATGCCTGATCATGCCTGACTCCAGAACCACAAGGCAAAAGTGATCTAACTTCGAATCTCACACTTCTAGCCAGGAGAATAACAAGAGAAGACACTTGCAGAGAACAGACTGAGTTCCAAGGTAGTAACAGTTCAAGGTTTGAAATGGAGTTAATGAACATTACTGACTGAATAAGAACCGATACAGAACCCAACAACAGTGCCAGGAGATGGCTCTACCACAAGCCACATAGCAAGCCGAAAGAGTGGGGTAATCCTGCCACTGAATCAATCATTGGTGAGACCATACTTAGAGTACTCTGTACAGTTCTGGTCACCGCAGTACAAAAAGGGTATTGGAGAAATCGAGAAGATACAGAGGAGGACAACCAAAATGTTTGAGAGAATGGAAGGACTGGACTATGAGGAGCAAGTAAGTAAATTGCGCAGTTCACGCTGGAAAAGAGAAGATTGAGAGGCGACATGATTGCTGTCTTTAAGATTATTATTATTTTTATTATTATTATTTTAAAGGGGCAAGACATAATAGACCATGACAGGCGTTTCAACTTGTCCAGAATAGTAGAACCAGAGGATACGGTCTGCGATTGAAGGGGGATAAATTCTGAACAAATCTACCCAAACACTATTTCAGTGAGCGAACAGTGAACCTGTGGAACAGGCTCCTTAGAGAGAGGGTTGAAACAGGAAGTGTTGATTCTTTCAAACACAGATTAGATAGTTTTCTTTTAGGAAATATCATTATGGGATATAGTACATAGGTAGTTTGGGATATATGCGCACGCGACTGCCAGGAAGGCAAACTAGATGGATCTTGGTCTTTTTCGTAAGCAATTCTAATGTTATGTTCTTATTTTTAAAGCAAAGCCCAAGTACAACTGATGTGGGCAGGCGAAGAATGTCCCAGGTGTTCTCATTATCTGCGTTGAGATGGTCAGGTGCAATAAATGGCCTCAGTGTCCCTGAGTTAGGGAGGGGAAAATCAACTACGCCTCATCATCATTAACCAGACACTCTGGGTGGGACACTACATACCTGGATGCTGGGAGTGGACAGGAATGCACTTGGATCTCATGCCTGCTGACACTCACTGTCTAGTCACACACATGAAGAATTGATACCTGGATAAGGGACCCCCTTATGAGCCCCTTGGAACCAGAACAGAGACTAATAATAATAAAAATAATATTGACATTTGGTATGGCTCTTTTTACATCAGGAGGACATCTCAAAGCACTTCACGAGGTTATACTGTAAAGTGACTACGTTTTTTAGGGGAATGTATTTATCCTGATAAAAATGTCATACAGCCATACAGAACAGGAAGATATGTGCTGATTTAACTGAACTTAATCAGTATAGAGGTAGGGGCACTGCAACGAGTCGTAGGAGAGAAAGAAGCGAGTATCTCCTGATGTCTTGGTCAACAATCCTCCAAAATAAAATTGGTAATTCACTTCATGGCTGTTTGTGGGACATTGCTGTGCGCAAATGAGCTGAGACGGTCCCCTAAATACATCGACAGCATGCAACATAGATCCTCTACTTCACAATAAAATTCCGCAAATCGCTTTGAGTTATGCAATTAATTATTAATGTTAACACATCCTACAAATTACCCCACAGTGTCAAATATCCCCTACCTACATCACAGAAAACATGCCACATGCTGTCTTTAATAATAATAATAATAATCCTTGCATTTGATATAGCGCTTTTCACATCGGGAGGACGTCCCAAAGCGCTTCACAGAACACGCTGTAAAGTGAATTGACTGTATATTTGTGGGCGAACGCGGCAGCCAATTGGGCACAGCAATGTCCCACAAACAGTCGTAGATTGAAAATGACCAATTTTATTATATTGTTTTTGGTTTTGGAGGGATTATTATTAGGCATGTGGAGTAAGGAAACTTGCCCAAGGTTTCGCCCTCTGCCTGGAATTGAACTCAGGTCTCTCGCTTGCAAAGCGAGTGCTCTAACCACTGAGCTACAGGACTCCACTTTAACCCTAACCTTGCACTGAGTTTAAAGAATGAAACGTTATCAGGGCTCTTCAATTGAAAAAGATCAACAATCACTCCTATTTAAATTCCGGTTCTTAATGTTTGAGACTGCTTCATTGAGTTAGGTTGATCTGTCAGAGTAACAAAACAGACTCTTGGCTTCAGGGCCCTGAAGCAAGTTTGGACCCAGAAATTAACAACACTGGGTGTATTCCTGATTACCATCTGGTGGCCTTTTCTGCATGTTACTTTTGTGAAAACAGGTTTGCACTCAGCTGTATTGC